AATTACTTCCAAGCCGAATTAAATTCTATCTCAGATTTATTTTTGAAATATAAAATTTTGCCCATTGCAACTAATTCCCACAACTTAATACTTCTTGCAGAAATAAGAAGTCCTTTCTAAAAGGAATCCAAGAGTATTCTTGCATATGCAATGTCAGTTGAATATATATTTGTGAATTATGAATATACGTATATCAAATTCAATAAATGTATGCATAGTTTTTAAAGTACTTTGATGGTATAGAATAAGATTAGCTCCATTTTTGCCATCTTCTGGAAGTTCCTTAACATGATAGGTGACATAAAAATTTAATAAATAAAAATAAAGGTGGCTTGGGGATCTTAGGGAAATGGGGAACTGATAAGATACATAACTGTACATATCATTAAGATGCTCTCTCCTCGTTTTTGTAGTTAATATTTTTATTATTTGATAAAAGTTTTTATTGTAGCATAATTTTGTTTTTTATGGTCTGTTTTTATTGCACATTGCCCAGAGTCCTGTTTGGGAAAGGGATAGTTTATAAATATAATGAATAAATAAATTCCATTCCAATTCTCCTGATAAATAGCAAATATTTAAACTGGTTACTAATGATCCATCCTAATCTTTTCCTCCAGATAATAAATTCTATTATTGTGAGCTGCCCAGAGTTGTTAAGAATCAGGAAGCATATAAGTATAATAAATTATGATGATGATTATCTTCACGATGAGCACTTATAATTACTTTATTTTCATATCCACCAAAATTCTCGGATCTAAACTATTAAACATTTAGAAATGATGACTTACAAAGTAGTGTTGTGCACTTCAAAATCTATTTCTAATTGGTTTCTTCATAATGTTACTACTTTTTATCCAGAGCTACAATTACAGTAGAACCTCTGGTCACGACCGGAATCCATTCTATGTCTTTGGTCAACCCGATTTGTCGTGACCAGAAGCGAGACTGACTGTGCATGCGCATTAAAAAAAAGCCATGGCGGAAGGGCAAATTGCCACGGGTGTGTTTGATTGCTACCCAAGTATTCACTCACGACCAGATGCAAAAAAATTCCAAAAGTTTTGGAAATTGGTCATCACCTGATTTGGTCATGGTCAGAAGGGTTCGTGACCAGAGGTTCTACTGTATCTTCAACTTTCTATGAAGTGACTGGCCATCACTTAGTACTTTATTATTTTTTCCCCATGTCTTCCACAAACCTGGTTGTTCTCTCAATCCTGAGTTGGAAAGTCCCAGTCTCCAAAGTTATGGAGAATCCATGCTAGTTTCCTAGTTGAGAGCTATCCATTCTTTATTCTTCTCTACATTTTGATTTTTAACAATTCCATGTATGGGAGAAGCCCATGTATAATTTACAATATTTTTGTGACTGACTACAGAAATTAGAAAATCTGCATTTTTTGTATGTTAAAAACAATTTGCAGGTTATTTTTTCACAAAACATACAGATTAAACAATGATACTGAACAGATAATACACTGAAACTGATTATGGAAAAAGACATTTTTCAAGAGAATAGCTTTCTGAGGTAAAGTATGTCCAAATATTTGCTTCAGTAAAATAGTTGCATAGAGGGGAAGACTTATAGCATCCTAAGACCTAATTATCTAAAGTTAACAGCATTGTTTTCCAGCTAAGTTAAGATAAGAAAGCTTCAAGAAAAATTTCATGAAGGCCACTTTAGGCCATTAGATGAAGAATGTGCAAGAATGTCTACTATTCACAGCTGATTCAAAGTCTTAAAAACATTTATAATTGGCTTTGTCAGAAGAATCAATTTTCTCAGTAAGGATGTATTAGAACAGCATGGAAAAAGATTGGAAATCTTATTTGTGAGCTTAAGAGATCATAAGGACTTAATTGTTATACACTATTTTTCCAGATTTTCAGAGACTGCAAATATGAGCAATTTTACAGAAGTATACTCTCATTAATTGCTTAAAGACTATATTACAATGGCCTCGTGAATTAATAATTGGTGTTTTGCAATTCACTAAGCAAAACTTTGACCTGTTTGTACAGAAGTATAATTTCACTCGTATTATGCCCCCAGCTTCCTCTATCCACAGCCAATGTGGAAGCAGAAAAAAACAAACTGCAAAGCAAATTCTAATACTTTCTGCAATTAATGGTAATACAAATATTAAATGTTGTAATTCCACTGTAATAATCAAAGTTCTAACAAAAACTATAGTACTTTGTGCTATTTAGCTTACCTATTAAAGCAAATAAACAATACATTTCTTGGGTTAATATTCACATACTAAGTACAAGTACTAGTTATATAGAAGAAAAGTCTAGAAAGATAATTTTTTTCTATTTTTTCTATTTTATTTTGTTAGCTACTTCATACAAATTTTTGTAGTAGAAAGACATATAAACGCTAAACCTATACATAAACTGGACAAAAATCATGAAAATATAAAATTAAAACAAAACAGCATTTTGCTGTTTTAAAACATTTTACAATGAATAAAAGTGTTAAAAATAGCAAATCATACGTGTGTGTATGTGTGTGTGTGTGTGTATGTACCCCCCCTTTGTACCATACAAATATTCCAGACAATTGAATTTGACATTTAGTTTCATAAATAAATAGCAACTGACATGCTATGCCTCTACTATCTTGAAGTTCAAAGCAATGTTTTTATATAAGCTTTTTCATTTATGCAATGACCAGATCCATGAAGCAAGATTATAGGTTACATTAAAGATCTTCCAACTATAGTCCAGATGACTGATTAATTTACCACACACACATACACACTTCATCTTACATGGTCAATAAGAGGCGACAATCATCTCATTTTCAATGCAAATGGCAATGTTTTTTCTTTGCTGCCTTTTGCTTGTTTTCCAACAAATTATGTTCATTATCGTATCATATTGTAATTCCATATAGTTTTTAGACATTGGTAGCTTTACTTTTTTTCTTGCTAATAATGCCAAATGTAACTTTTTTTCCTAGCAATTCCACAATACACTGAAGCTTTCAACAACCCATCCAGACCAAGCTCACGCATGCAAGACTGCATATTTTTTTCCACCTAACTATACTGTGATGGAACATGATTTCATTAGTACAAATATTATAGTAATCACACTATGACAACAGCAGAATATGTCCCAGTAGACAATGTCCAACTTAGACTATATTTTTGACCTGGTCTAAAGCATGCATACATTCTACAAGGATCTATACATAAAACAATTAATGTTATTGTTTTTCCGAGTTTCAATGGAGGTGAATCTGTTACAACTCTTTAAGTCTTGCGTATTTCTCCTCTTACAATCTGTAGTGAATCAGTAAGGTTGCTATGGGTGCTGAAACACAGTTGCCATTGTTGCTTTGTTCTGAGTGGATGTTTCAAAGCATTCTTGCTCTCCTAACTTCAGCAGTGGACAAATACAGAAGTTATCCTGACACTGTGGATGAATGAAGGGCTTGCCGGTATATTAGAATGAAATGGAACTGCTTCACTTAATTTAGAGATTGTTACTCCTTGCTTCTACCTCTCCTTGCTTGTTGCATTTGTTTCTTCATTTCAAAGAAGTTAAGTAGCAGCTAAGCGATTGCCTGTAGTATCCTTTGGTCCCAACATGCTCCAACAAAGCACAACATAACTGAAAGACGTTTGAATTGCAAAGACTTGGTTAAAATTCACAATTGTAGACAATGATAGCTAAAAAGTATTTATTTGCCTAGGGTTAAGAACTCCACATTCTTGGGCAAGGTAAGATGTCCTAAGAGCAAGCTAATGAAAACCGACCAAATGTTTGGAGAGAAACTTCGTCTTCAGGATCCTCAACAAAGAGTGCCTAGTTACCTATCAGGTTACCTGTCTGGGCTAAAAGAGATTCTGCAGGCGGGGCATTCAGGCACCAATAAAAACGCAGCCCCACCTCCATTTGCGGTTTGAAGGCGGCGGAGGAGGAGCAGTTGCTGCTGCTATGAAGTCCTGCTAAAGAAAAGCTGCAGGAGGAAGCTGGGCGCTAACCTTTAGCCCTCCGGCCTCAAAGCAAGTTCGCACCTATTGTTGCAGGAAATGGCATGCTTCAATGGAAAGGGGAGACAACCATTTCGAGGGTGGAGAAACGAAGCCCGCACATTGCCAGTCACACAAAAGAGTGCAAACAATCTGGCTGTTGTGAGAGCCCTGTCCCTTGGCGTGTAAATATCCTCCCGGCAACAGTCACGGGCGAACGAAAAGATCAGGGAGGGGGTTTCCGAGGGGCCGCGCGCAATAAAGCAGAAAGGTTGATTGCGGGGATTGCAACAGAAAGCTGCATAGGTCAGGAAAGGCGGAAAAGAGGATGAGAGGCACCCAGGACCTGAAGGGACGTGGATTTTAATGGTGGCGAGTGTATGAAAAGAGCGTCGGGAAAGGGTTTGAAGTAGGCTTTCGAGGGAGGAACCGAGAAACGGGGAGGAGCAGGAGAGAGAAAAGTGTATCCTGGGGTGTGTGTGCCTCAGTTCCATTCGCGGAATCCTGGATCCCGATGGCATTTTAAGACGCTTTACCGGGAAATGATCCCCCCTCCTGTAAACTGGTCCTACTCCCAAGTAGCGCGTGCTTAACACTGCGGCGCCAGGGGAACTTCCTCGGGCACAGCCCCCGAGAGGTGAGCGCTCGGCGGCTACCTGGGGAATCGTCTCGCTCCAGAGGGGAGGGGGAGGGGAAGGTGAGAGCCGCACACGGGCACCCAAGCACTCCTTGGCCAGGAGCGGGATCCAAGAAAGCCTGGATGCGGACCCAGAGAGGGAGGAGGAGTGGCACGGACGAAGGAAGGGGGATTTCTGGGGGGCACGAGGCACGCAGAAGGTGACGCCGGGGGTGGCGGCGGGGAGGCGAAAAGAAAGAGCAGGAAGAGCAAGCGGAGCGGCAGCCCACAGGAGAAGAAAGCGGGAGGAGCGGCGCGCGAGAGTAGGAGGGGTCGGCAGGCGGGTGCAAGGTAACGCTCGGCGGGCAGGCGGGCTAGTTGGCGTCGGGCGCGCGCAGCGCGGGCCTAGTTGAGGCGGCTTAGCTGCGCTGGCAACTCCCCGGGCGGTCGGCGGCGCGCGGGATGCGTGGTTCCCGCGCGCGCACGGACAGAGAGAGAGAGAGAGAGAGTAGCGTGCGCGAAGCGATCTGAGGGTTCCGCGGAACGGCCGGCGTCTTCTCTACGTGCGGGGAGACGGTGGCGGAGCTCGAGACGCCCGCGGGTCGGAGCAAAAGCAGCATGCGGGTGGCGGCGCTCTGGGCGCGCGTGGTGAGTAAATGTCTTGCCTCCTTCCAGCTCGCTCGCTGCCTGTTGAGCATAATAGGAAAGGCTGGCTTCTCCCGCGGCTTTAAAAGACCCGCTTGCCACGTCCAACTTTGTCCCATCGCGTCCGTGCAGGGTTTCCCACTGGAGAGTTCTTCTGGTCATTCCGCCGCTTTCCGCAGAATGCAGCCGTCCTCCCTCCCTCCACCCCCCCCCCGGTCCCTTCATGTCCTCCGGGAAATCTTCTCAACGGCGGGAACTCGCCCTGGCTCGGGTGGGTGGGGGTCTCTTGCATCCGATTACTCGCGGAATGTGGAGTTCTGGGTGGGGGGGTGGGGTGGAATGTTCCTCGCGACCCGCCCTCCTCCTCCTCCTCACCTGCTGCCGGCATTTCGGTCGATTCTTCCTTTTTTATTCCGGAATCCAATTGTGGGCCGTTTCCCGTCTTCCTCTTTTCCACCTGCACCACCTCTGGGCTGCTTTTTATGCGCTGCGCTGTATTGTGTTGGCGTGACTATTTGGGAACTGTTGCACGACGAGAGAGTATTTGCATTTTCTCCACTTCAGTCTTTTGCGTGATTTGTGCTCGGGATGTATGTTTTAGGGTACGGTAGGGCACAATCCGCCGCCTCCTGTTTTATAACCAGGCGGTTGCAGGTTTTTTTTTTTAATCCAGTTTAAAGGTTGAGATTCTTCCCGATGGCGCGTCCCCGGAGGTTTAAAAAAAAAGAAAAGAAAAAGAAGGATTTCCCTAAAACCTGAAGGAATAAAAAGAGATGTATCAAGTGTCCGAATGTTCATGTTGCCTGGAAATACGGTTTCCTTATTAATGAAAAAATGGCCTGGTGACCTTTCTCTCTACACGACATAATAATATACGAATTGTCGACGAAGTCTGTAAGATAATCGTTCTCCGGGTATATATCCCCCCCCCCCCCCCGCCCACCCCCCCGGCGGTTTAAAGAGATGTGCTGACTTCACCTGCGGTGGCTTAAGACTCTCGCGGCCAGGAATGCTGTCTTGCCTGCTTCTCCACCCTGACACTAACGTTCACAAACAAAATCTTTGGATTTCTCCCAGGTTTACAATACAGTCTGGAAAAGAGAAATAGTTAATACCACTGCAACAGTAACCCGAAAACCAAATGCTTTCCCAATGCCTGCTTTTTTTCAATCCGCAACCCAGGAGCTGAGTTAAATACTTGCGTATTTATTTATGCATGTGTGCCTTATTTATTTATGCATGTATGCGCATTGGAAAGGATTGAGAAAAACAATGAGTTTTGGGGGCTTTCAGCAGACAGATTTGTGGTTTTCCACTTCCAGACAGCTTTAGAGTAGTGCCTTCTTGCTTTGGAGTTTGCACTTCGTGCTTTTAAGTAAAATGGGTGGTTACCAAACTAACTCATAAATGTTTCTGTTCTGTTCTGACATTTAGCTGTTAGCATTCATCATTTCATTTTCTTCAAAATAAAGGGTGCCTAAAAATCATGGAGAGCTTTGTGTGCTCTTAGCAATGGCATGTTTTGTTTTTGGAATGCTGGCTTCTTAAAATAATTTTAGACCAAAAAATAGTTTTCTGGTTTTTTTAACAGCATTTAAATATCTTTTTGTAGTGAATGTGAAATACGAACTGAAGTTTCTCTACATTCCAGGGTGTTGTAGACTAAACGGCTTTTGCATTTCTCAGAATTTTAATATAGAATTAAACAATGGAAGGTTTCTTCTGCCACCTTACATTCTATTTTGTCATTTGTCCTGAGAAAGGGTTATGTTTGTATGCAAGATTTAAACTTTTGCCCCCTGTTGGACTGGCAGAAGTACTTTAGATGAGAAGGAAAAAATCTTTTTAAAATGCAAATGGTGTAGGCACTTTGTCAACCAGCTCTCCCACTCAATTTGTTGGTTTCTTTTTAACTGAAGAATGACTAGTAGATTGTATGAAATTCCAAGAGGACTTCTGAATATCAGGAATGAGAGTACTGTAATATTTTCAGTGTTCCACTTGTTAATTTTTATTTTTTCCCCAATACTAGCTTTACATAGGTGTATAAAGCTTGGATTACAGAATCATTGTCAGGATTTTTTACTTCACTATTATGCACGGTAGTATAACTATAATATTGTTTGAACTTATTTAACACAAAGATGCATTTTTATTTTTACCATTTCCAAAAAATAATTTATCACCTTGAAAATGCAGTCTGAATATTGATTTTTGAATTCTTAAAGCATTTGTGCATGGAACTTTAATACTGCAATTTCCAGTGGTTTATATCAATTACTACTATATTGAAACATTGACAGTGCATCCTTTTGTATATTGTATATTGTGTATCAAACTATTCATTTGTCATTGAAATCAGTTTGTAGGATCTATGTTGTTTCCTTTGGAGTTCAGATATCCACTACTATAGCTAAGTGAAAATCAGGTCAGATAGATGGACACACAAAGAATTAAGGTTGCCTCTAAGCTCATTCAGTCTAGGACTACAAGACCATAACCAGATTTGTAGGGCTTTTCACTACTGTTCTCCCCTTTCCCTCAGTGTTATTATTGTTAGCTTCAAATTATGGACCTTTCTTGATGTACATGCTAATAATCAGAAATTATTCCTAATTTGCACTTGTTCAGTATGAAATGATGAGGGATAAGAAATCGACTGCTTTAGTATTTGCAGGATTTTGAATATGGCTAGCTCATTCTTCTAGATAAAAAGTTAGGGTTAGGGTCGATTGTTAATTGATGCTCATTCTTTTGGTATTTTTCCATTGTTCTGCTGCCCCCTTATCAAACACACTTTCAGAAGACAAAAAATGATATTATACTTTCTATATGTTGGGCTGTGTCTACCTTCCTTTATTTGGAAGAGAAATAAAACTTCGCTTCTCCAATATAGCTGTCAGTTAGCATGTCTAAATGAAGAATGGCTTTGCCCAGAAGGGTGTCTATAACTTTTTAAAAGTTGCCTGATTTCTTGGATACAATTTTTGCTTATTTCAGGTGAAATTATGAGTGCCTACCTAATACACATCTGAGTTAAACTCAGTACGGTAAAAAAAAAGAACAAATAATGTCTTATTCAACAGGAATGTTTCCCCCTGAAGTCTTATTCAAAGGAATAAGAAACTATGAACATAGTTTAAGTTACTTTTTATGTGCAGCTTCTACAAAGATTGATAACCTTTTGTTTATGTCAATATCACTATATATGCCATCTCCACAAAGGAGATATTTACTGGATTGCCAGTGTTGTTGAATAATTCTCCTTACTTCCCCTTATCACTGGAATCTTGGAGTATGACTTCATTATAAAAATCATATGAAAATATACATATAACTTACTATCTCAATACTGATATCACAATGGCTGGTTTATTTTGCTGTTAGTGTACTTTAATCTTTGGCTTATTACTTTGCTAAGTTGTCACATACATAGTTCTTTTGTTCAAAAATGCAGCTTACAAGCTCATTGTTAATTAAGAAACTAATGTGTCATCATTACAGCCATCCTTGTACTTAAAATAAGTTGTAAAATAGTATAGGTACATTTAAATTCTTGCTTGCTTGTTTTTAATCCATAAATTTTGAGGAGACTAAGATTTGTTACTAATTTCTAGTTTCACATTTGCGTGAAAATTCAAGACAGGTTAATCAGTAAAATTAATATAAACCTTATATATAACATTGGGCCTGAAATTAATTATAGAACTAATGCTTATCCTAAATCTTTGTAATCAGGACACTGTGCCCTTCAAGATAACCTCTAATTTGATATAACAATATTATTTGAAGAGCATGTAATGTAATGCATGCTAACTCAATATAAAAACTTGGTTTTGGGCTTGTCATGCAGGCCTGCTAATCTGCATTCCTGTCACATTCAGGATTGCCTTTTGGAGATGTGGGCTTGGATGCAAGTTGTCTGTTGCTTTGAGATGCAAAGGCCTATTTATTTCTACCTATTCTGAGTTAGATGGAATAATTATGCCAAATTCCCTATGGCGTCATACACCATTGGGGTGGTGTATATAGAAATCTTTGGGCTGGACAAGCTGCAACCCCTTTCTATTAAGAACTATGTCAGCATGAATGATTTGAGTTATACCAAATTAATTGTGAGATGCACAACTTTTGGTCTTTAAATTTAATGTTTACATAGGCTTGTCATGTTATTACATGTATAGTTGTTTTTATTATATCAATTTACTGTTTATCATGAAGTGTAGTTTTCCACTTAGAGAATATTAATACTGTACAGCATTTGTGATTCAAAGGATAAATAGTGCTAGGAAGAGCATGAGTGTCCCTTGTAGCATTTACTAATAACTTCTTAAAGCAATCACATCTTTTCCTGGGATCTCCAGTAGTTGTTGAAGAATAATCTTAAGAAAATAAAAAAATTGTGTTTGGTTTAAAATATATAATGTGTATGATATGTTTTGGTTCTATAATTTCCGTTCTCAATGACATATTAGAGAGGATTGATATCATTTTTAAAATTATACTATGTTTTGAATTTTCACATAAGTTAGCCCGTGTTATGCCAGAGGCAGCAGCGCTGTACTTGGATAGAATAATTTGATTCCCAACAATATATTGGGCAATGCTGGACACAAACGTATTATTTTTATGATGAAAAGCTATTTGAGATAAAACTTTTCAGATCTGTAATTTTAATTAGAGAATAAATAGGCATTACTTTTCTTGTACAATACTGTTGATGTTTATCTCGTAGGACAGAATGTGCTGATTACACAAATATAGTGTGTGTCATTGCTTAATTTTAATATTATATAAGCTTTATATTTATATTTATTTTATTGACTGAATCACCTTTTGAATATGAATAAAGAAAATAAGTGCTTTGGCCTCATCTGATTTAGGGTATCTACAGGCTACAGATTAACAGAATTGGAAGGCACCTTCTAGGTCATCTAGTCCAAGCCCCCGACCTCCAAGTAGGAGACCCTACACTATTTCTGATAAATGACAGTCCAATCTAT